GCTAATTCCCTCAGCACTCTGGGGTGGAGATCATCAGGACCAGCTGATTTAAATGCATCCAGTCCCTCCAGAAGTTCCCTGACTAAATTCTCACTGACCCTAGGTAGGCCTGGGTACACCTCCCCTGGGGCCTGAGGGGGTCCCAGAGGGGGTAGGGGGCTGGGGGGCTGATCCAGTCCCTGCTCAGGAAAATGGAGGCAAAGAAATTGTTAAATAGGTTAGCTTTTAACATGAAAAATTCACACTATTTGTCTGTAATGCAATATAGGCCCAGCATTATTCTTCCCTTTATCTTGGTGCCATTTAATAAACTTTTAACAGCTGTTCAACTTACATTTGCAAAGTACTTTGCTGCAGAAGTAACTCAGATGAGGATATCTTGTGGAGTCTTTCACTCTTCTAATAAACTTACTGTAGTGCTAACCTTTCTTATTCTGTCTTCCTTAGCCGTGAAGACTTCCAGCGGATTCCAGAGCTTGCTATCAACCCCCTGGGAGACCGGATTATCAATGCTTTCTTTCCAGAAGGGTGAGTTGCTGATGGTTGCATTTCCAAATAACCTACAAATTCTGTGAATATTGAAAACCCATAACTGGCTTTATGTCCATCTTATGAGATGAGGAATTAGAAATAGTGTCAGCTTTATTGTGGATTTACTGTGACTTTGGACAGGTAACTTACTTCTTTGCATGTTCTGTTCTGTAATATAGGGTACTTGTCTACTTCATGTGCGTTGCCTGTTATAATCAGTACACAATTCCCTTATTCCTGTTTTCTAGTCTTATTGCCATGCTGCTGAAGGCCTCTGAAAAAAGTCTAGAAGCTGTATGGACTGCCTTAGAAAAATTCACTTTTTAGAACTGGGAACTTTTCTTAAGCAGCACTTCCATTACTAACGGGATCTGTGCACCTTCTCTGCCCTTTTGTAAGATATTGCCATCATGAAAAGAAGTGACATTGTCACCAGCTCCATTCTGCATGCCGTGTCCTACTTGGAAGGATGTCCTCCTTTCTGCTAACTCCTCAGTTAGTCTATTGGGCTGCACAACTGTAGGAAGAATGATGGGCCCCTGAGAACTGCAGACTCAAAACATTCATCCCAAACCCCTCTGAGATCTCCTGGCTTCAATTTGGACAAACTGTATGGGGTCTACCTCAATAGACTCTGAACCAGCTATGGCCACTTCTGCCATTACATGCATCAAATAGGCCTGACATCAAGTGCCACTTGCAAATGTGACATCCCCTCACAGACCACAAATCGAATAATTACAGAATGCTCTATCTTCCATTGCCCTGGAAACCTCAGTGCCCTTGACAGCCCATCTTTATCCTGGCCCAGCTCTGTCCAATGTGAAATATGACTCTGGTGTACCGTTTTCATCATTCAAAAACAAACAAAAAAAAAAAAGGAAAGTTAGTCTATTTTAAAGCCCATTACCTATCTTATTTTCTCATTGCATTCCCTTAATTTATCCATGCAAATTCTTTCCCTTTTATCTTCACATCTCCCCTTCAGGCAGTTCTCCCAAAATGACATCATATAGTTAGTGGTCAGCAGTTTTAACTCTGATGATCTTAAGTGCAAGAGGAATGTCAGTAGATTATACCACAGATTTGTTCATTGTTTTAAACTGTTTATACTAAAATTGATCTCAAAGTGCCCCTACCAGCACTCAGCAAGTCAGTGCAGCTTGCTGAGCAATGTCAGCATTGCTGATTCATGCATACAGTTCTTGCACAGTCATACTGCCACGTTCTGCACTAGTTCTTCTCTACAGAGGGTTTTCAAGGACAGTTAGACATAGAATGCATTACAATAATCTAGTTTACAGTAATAAC